GAAGAGCGGTCGGCGGCGCGGGCTGCGACCTCTGAGTGGATAGCACGAAGAAGAATGGGTTCCATACCAGCGTCCTTGCAAGCCCTGTTAAAGACTGCAGCACTGATGAGTGCAATGTCGACCTCAGGAGTTTCCAGTTGAGCAGCGAATTGAGAGACCGTAGGGTAAGAATAGATGGGTTCAAAGGGAAATTTAGACGAAAGGGGCTTGGCCCGTAACGTCCGAGAGCAGGAGCAAGAGCGAGAGTGAAGTGAGTCCCCAGGAGGGGTCTCCAGAATTGTCGGTGAAGCCAACGGCGAAAGTTCCGGTAGCGGAACAGCAACCTTTGCAACAACGGGGTTGATGGCAGAAGGCACAGACGTCTGTGGAGAATCAAAGTGTGAAGTGTTACGGAACGTAATGTTTCGAGATGCCCAGTCAATCAACGGATTGTAGCGGGATAAGAAACTGTAACCTAATACTGCTTTACAAGATGAATCTAAATGAGTAACATAAAAGGGTAATAGGAGCAGCTCGCCAGAAGGGAACCGAACGGCGATATTCGCCATATCAGTAATGGGTTTAGAAGATAATGAACCATCAAAGAGACGAAGATTAACAGGAGAGATTTTGGTCGTAGGAATAGAATTTTGTGAAACATAACGAGTATCGATGAAAGAGTCAGTAGAACCAGAATCAACAAGAGTAGGAAATTTAAGAAGAGCAGAAATGGGTTCGGCCGGCGCGGCCGAATCGGATAAAGAAAATTCAGTAGTCAAAGATATTACAAGAGATCGTTCAATGGAAGAAAGAGCGGACACGTTGAGATATAACTCCCCAGGTGAGGTACGAACCTGATCAACGCAGCTCCCGTTTCGTACCGGGGAACAAGAGCTGCGGACTAGTTTTCCGATTCCTCTTCAACAACCTCAATGGTTGCTTCGGGGGTTTCTTCAACCTCGGCAGCACGGCCCTTCGATTCTCGGGCCTTTCGCTTATTGCAGTCAGCAATCTGATGCTTACCACCACAGAAGAGACAAAGGTTGTTCTTCATCCTTCTTTCCTTCTCGGAGGGAAGGACTTTCCCATCTGCACCAAGATGGTTGAATGCGGGGCGCTGACCGCCGGATTGACCGGAATTCGAAGAGTTCTGGGGCTTACCATTGTTGTTAGGCTTACCACCAGAGAAGGGTTTAGGCTTCGGCGTGAACGGCGCCGAAGAGCCAGAAGGCTGAGAATTGTTATGCTGGTTAAAAGAACCAGTCTTGAAGTCCGAGGAACCCTTCTTCGGGTTCCGAGCAACAAAAGGCTTACCAGCCTCACGCTTTCTAGTTTCCTCGCGTTTCCAATAACGATTGTCAATACGAAGAACTTCTTGACGGTAGTCGGTGAGCGTCGCCGGTTCGGGCAAACGCGCCATTTTGTCCTTGATGCGTTCAGCTAGGCCTTGTCCATAAGCCCATTTCAGGGCAGCAGAATCCCAGTTGGTACTAGCAGCCAGGGTGTTGAACCGGATGTTGTATTTCCGGATGTTCTCGGTTTCCTTCATCTTCAGATTACCGAGAGAATCTTCGGCCTCGCCTTGCGCGTCGTAAATGCCGAAATTGTCCTGAAGCTCCTTTACAAGGGCTTTGAAGGAGGACGTCCAGGCCGGCAGCGAGTCGAGATCCGGATCGAGGATATCAGGGACAAACCATTCTTTGGCTGACCCACTGAGATAGGAAAGGGTGTAGTTCACCTTCCATTGGTCGGTGAAATACTTGGGACGGTCATTGAAGACCAGGGCAAGATTGACGAAGAACGTCTTGAGTTTTCGGGGATCCAAACCGTCGAATACCTCTGGCTCCTTGACCTTGCTCTTGGATTCAGAGCTGTCAGAGGGACGACCGAGGGCGGCGAGAACGGTACCAAGGGTCTCAATGGAGCCCTTGAACCCCGAGAGGAGTTCCAACATAGCTCGTTGCTCGTTGGGGATGTCAGGAGAGATAGGAGAATGGGGTCCACCAGGTCCACCAGGACCGCCGGGACCGCCGGGACCACCAGGACCACCAGGCTCACCACGCGGTAAACCGCCGGAATCGTCATCCAGATCGTCGTTGTTATTGTCGGCACCCGGATCGTCGGGGTCGACAGGAGGGTCCTGATCATCGTGATCACCAGTGTCCAAATCGAAATGAGGAGGTGGGTCACGAGGAGATTCTGAAGCAGCACGACGTTGGGGTTGTTTCCCCGTACGGCGGGCTATGGCTTGGAGAATTGGAGAATCAATTCGAGTAGTAGAGCGGCCCCGAGCCGGAGCGACCACGGGGGGTTGTCCACGGCGAGGGGTCAGGACTTGGACAGGTTGTCCATCACCGGTATACAAAGTGCTGTACTCAAATTGTTGTTGTTCTTCTTCCATGGCTTCAGGAAGAGTCGACGTAGTAGGGACAGTGGCTGGACCGAAACCGCGATTACGGCGATGTGGTTGACCGATGGCAGAAATAGATTCGGAGAAAGGGGCAAATGATTGGGCTGTAGTGAAGAAAGTATTTTCTTCGGAGTTAGCTCTAGATTGAGCTCGGGTTTTCGGAGGCATAAAAAATGATATGTCAGTACGACGTTAACGGATTGAGTTTAATTATACTGTTAAGATCATGTACACCATGTAACCGTGCCAGGGCCACAAGGTGTCTAAGTGCAGAAGACAAGTGGGACAGTAGTGAAGTTATTAACAACACCGCCGTTACGCCGTTAGTCCCCGGAGAACAAGAGTATAGAGGGAGGAGCTAAGTAGCAGCCAAGTCAGAGCGGCGGTATCGCCGATGACGAGGAGCGGACCAGAGAACGTTCAAGTCCTAAGGTCGAGTGGAACGTACTTCAAGGCATTGAGCCTGAAGACTTAGAGGAGAGCTAAGTTGAGAAGGGAGATCTAAGTTGATCTAAGTTGATAATTAAACTGAGGAACTACAGTAGCGTACAGGCAGTATTTATATCTACGGAACAGCGCAGCGGTGCGGAGCGCCAGACTAACTACTAGGAGCTATACGAGTAGTACCTGTAGGGTAGAGTAAAAGACAATAAGGTGAGACTAGAACAAAAGGGTATGTGTAGCAAGAAAGAACAATAAGGAGTGGATCTTCAGAGTACCGAGCGGCGGAATGGAGGCCCGAGGCATGGACTTGACACTGCATCCGAACAGTCTCAGACATCATCCCGGAGGTTACCAACTCCCTCAGTACAGTCCCTTAACCTTCCTCCCCCGAGACGAGGAAGTTCGCTCTCCAGTCTCCTGAAGAGCCCAGCTATGAATACGCCCAACTGGGAGCGTACACACGCAATACACCATAGCAGGACCAACTTCCCAGTACAACCTTTGTCCGAAATGACATTGCATCTGGAAGGCGTCATTCGAATTCAGGAGTGTATCCCGGAGGATGTAGCTATGGTCCTAAGGGAGGTATTGGAGTCAATGGGGATTGAAATATTGGGAGACGGTCTCGAGTTCTCAGACCTACGAGTACAGTTCCTAACAGTGGGAACTCAACTGGAAATAGACCTCCCAGAGAAGGCTCAGTGGTGGCTGATGACCCCAGCAAATCGATCAGACTTTCTCTGGTTGTACAACGTCCTATTGGACCCAGAAAGGATGTTAGAATTGCTAGAGGCAGAGGCTCGTTACGGACGATCATTCCAAAACTCGAGGGGAATACTTCCCCTCCTCCCTCATACCCATGGAAAAGAGAAGGATTTCTGTGGCGAAGCAGGTCTGCGTATATTCTACCGAGCATCTAATTACAGATCAGGAGCTGTACGATTCGAACCTCCCCCTTCGAGGGTTAACATCCCAAACTACCAGGCTATCCAGATACTTCGGAATGCAAATCTAGCGGCGGCGGCAGCTAAAATTGATGAGGAAAGTAACGAGGATGCTAACGCAATCGCTGCAAAAAATTGTAGGCGCAGGAGATACACCATGGCTCACCTCCTGGCCCCAGTGGAGTCAATGCCTGATCAGGATAGTCCCGTCCGGGTCCGTAGCAGACAGACGGTATACACGTACACGCCCATGAGGCATATGCACCAGCTTCTGGTGAGGAGTGAGGAGTCTGAAGTGATGTTGTGTTCGCAGGAGACCCGACACCGGACACTACTAGCGGAATCAGACACTCTGATGCTGTCGGAGGAACTTTCTGGATCGAATCTAGAAAGAGCTTTGGAATTCCATCGCAGACTGGTCGCGGATAATCGGGGAACCTCGTATATGGTTCAATGTGAACCAGAGAGCGTAGGGGCACCTCAACATCACAACAACTGGAGTATATAGATCTGACATATCAGTCTGCATGACAGGGCTATGCCCCTTGATCTCGCTTTATCCCCTACATTGCCAATATTTCTGGCAATATTGATAGCTTTTCTCAATATGGTAGAGGCCCAGCCCAGTCGAAAAGACCATGACATAAGTCCCAAAACCACCGGAACTGTGCGGGAGTGAGTCCGCCACATCACTCTCAGTTCCGAATCATCTGAACAAGCGCCTCCCGTCGTTGACAGCGCTAATCTACTTGACACCGGCTCCCGACTCCCGACTCCCGACTCCCGACTTTTTGTAGCTCATAAGTTGCAGTTCATAAGTTGCATTAAATACGTGTACCGACCGACTTCGATTTAACTACGTAAGGCTACAAGCAACATTAGGCCTCAGCACCGCCCTCTTGGCCCTGGGAAATGTTGGTTTTCCTCTTCTTGCGGGGCTTCCCAGCATCGGACCGCTTCTTGCGAGTGCGTGAGTGGCTGTGAACAGCAACACCGTTGGCATCTGTTACGACAGTTGCATGGACGAAGGTTGTAGTGGGAGTAGGGGGAGGGTTTCCTTCACCTGCATGAGGCAGGCCCCCTTCCCACCCTCCACCCCCTGCTGGTGCGTCTTCTTCTTCTCTTGAACGTTCCTCCTGAACTGTTTGCTCAGCCGCATGCTTCTCCCTCACTCCCTGCAGCCTTCCCCGCGCCTCCACCAAGGCTTCGTCCTGCTTCTGCTCCCAAGCTTGGTGCTCCTCGCGCGTCATCATGTAAAAGTGGGCTGTCCCTGTCTCCCAAGCATTCCAGAGGATGCTCACGTCAGCTCGAGTGCTGATAGAACTTGGGTTTTTAAACTCCTTCAACGGCCAGTTCTTGATTACAATCCCAAACGGCCGCGTGACGTGCTCCTCGAAATTTGTATAGAACATCTTCTTCACTTCATATTTCCCAGCACATTGTTCTGTAGAGGATTTGAATAGACATTTTGACAAATTCTGCAGAAGACTTACTCAACTTCTGTAGAATCAGGGCAGAAACTTTGGACTTCATCTCGGTAAGGATTTGAACATGGTTGCGGGCCACTCCCTCTACCCCCAAAACCATAAATGCATCCATGCGCATTGCAAGGTCTGCGCCTGAGGTCTTCATTACTGTTGAAAGAAAGCTTTCAGACTTCTCACTGGAGCAGTAAGTTTCTGGAGGACGGAACCGCGACAGGGAGCCTCGAGTAACAACAAGAATGCATTCATCTCCAGTGCGTGCAGCAAGGCATGTCAACTAGGTAAGTGTGAGTTGGCTGCTATAAAATGTGCGAGCTGTTGTAAACGCACCTCTTCCTTGACGCGACTGACCGTCATGCTAGAGTCGTGGGTAGCACTAACGTCAGCGTTGTGCCACATCCCAAGCTCTTTGTTCTCTCTCCTTTCACGAAGTGCCACTATTTCATCCTCCGTTGCAGCCACCCTCTCTTCCTCCGTCATTCCACGCCATTTCTCAGCAATTATGTGGGAGAGCTGGTTGACTTTTTGGCGGGGCTGTCCTTCAGGGGTATTAGCGTCGAGGGTTCACATCTGTAAGCTGGTAAATGCAGAGTAACGGCTTATATCTTTAGAAGAGTCCTTGAGCCTTTGAGACTGGAAGACGTCTGTAATCACCCGCTCCAAGGTGTGGTCGGGAAATCGGGAGCAGACCTCTGCAGCTGCCTCGCGAAGCTGTTTATGTATTTCGTTAATGGCTGCATTGTAAGTTGTTTTCTTCTCCAGCCGCCTCAGGCATTTCTCCTTCCTATCTGCAGCAGAGAATTTGACTGCAGGGCGCTTTGTTCGAACCCGCCAAGCTTTCCGAGTAATGGAACCTGCTTTCCGACAAGCATCCAGTAATCGCTGGAGTGCAGGTGCATTTTTTCGGGCCATAGCCTGAGCTCACAGACAGTGCTGAGGTTAGTTCTTCAACTCAAGTAAATCCGTTGCATCAAAGGTTTTGAAACTTCGTAAATTGAAATGAAATTCAGAATGCTACGACCCTATTACAACTCCGAGTGAAGGTCCCAGAGAAGCTCTGCCCAGTCCTCTGAGATTACTGTACACTTTGTATTGAACCACTGCAAGAATTCCTCCTTCGAGTTGAATTTTCGAATGGCATCCTCAACCTTGCCTGCGGAACGTTCGTCAAATTGAAGGTTCCTCAGAATGCGACAGCTCCAATATGCCCCAGTGTGGAACAGCGAACGTCGGCCAGCAGATAACGGATCTGAGATGAGATTGCCTATCACTCCCGTTGCTGAACTATTGAAGAAATGAACATACCTTGGTTTACGTGGACGGTGATTTGCGGGGAGGCAACGAAGCTAGTCCCAACAGAGGTACCTTCGGCTTGGCTCCGATTCCTACGGCTGGGAGTTGGGGGAGGAGTGTCAGGGTTGGGAGACCTTAAAGATCTAAGCATCGGTCTTGGAAATCTTGGTGGAGTTGCAGGAGCAGGCGGAGTGGACGGCGGCTCTACCTCTGCAACATTCAGCAGTTGGCGTATCTCATCTGCAGCGTTTGGCTGCTCTCTAGGGTTATATTCCCAAACGTGATGGTCGGGGTTTTTAATGCTACCCAGCTGGAAAACAACCGCTTCTTTGAAGGTCCTGAACGCAAACGCTTGCTGCCACTTTGACTCCTGCGCTTCGTCAACACTGGAGATCGCATCAAGCCTTTCAGAGAGGCAGCTCCTCAGCAAAGTTCCGCTACGTTTAGAAGACGACGCACCCTTCGAAAAAGATCCCAACAAACTTGCCATATTTCACCACCCATACCAAATCAACCTGCTCGTTGGCTGCAGTAGCCACTTCCTGAAACTCTTCGGAGGATATGAATTTGTCAACAAAGCTGTCCGGGGACTCCCTGTAGTACCTATTCGCAAGGGGTTGAAGGAGGCCGTATAAGTATTTTGCGAAGGACCTGCTATGACATTGGATGTTCAATGGAAGGGGAGGCTGTTTGTAGCCACCCTTCATGAACCTCCTGCCGCGACAAATGAGACGCTGACGGTAGCTCAGGAGATTGACGCCGACTTACATTGTTTCATAAATTCCTGGTTTTTGAGAACCTTCACGGCCGATAACGTTGAGGCACACGCAGCGATTACCTTCCATATCAATGACGTTTATGAGTGGGGGAAAAAGAAAGTGGTGAGAAAAAATTGGAGAAAGTTGACATCGATATGAAGGCCCTACCTTAGTTGTAGAGATGACAAAAAGCTTAAGCGCTTAAGCACCGGCGGGAAATCTGATAACGTTGATCGCTGTCACATGCTAAGAAGCGCCGTGGCTGACTTTGTTGAAGTTGAATGGCGCTTCTTTATTGTTAGCAGCCGACTTGACCTGCGGGCTGCTCCATCTCAGATGAAATTCAAGCTCAAGTTGTCACCAGGTGAGCACTCTATTAACCCCACCTTTCTACTTGAGCTTCGCATTGGAGCAATCAGTTAAACTTTGCCACTCGAACCTTTGAATATCCGCGCCACGGAAATTCGAAGGATTTGGTTGGCTGAGGTTTGGCTGCTGGCTTTGGGGGTGAAAGTTCGATTCGCAGGGGGCTGAGAGCCGCGGAATCAATGCTTCACGTCGCCCTTGAATACTTGCGCCACGGGAATTCGAGGGTGGCGCGTCGCGTTGGATAGACCCGGCGCGTCGCTCGTTGCCAAATTTCGGCTCCTCCTACGCGTTTTTTTGCAAGATCTGCTGATGTACTTTATTTAGACCTTGCTAGAGAGCTTGGGGTATCCGCCTACGTATTTGAGGAGGGCTTCGACTTCAAAAATGCGCTATTCCGATCTGTCGTCGCAGAGGGCCTCCGGGATCACTTGGACTTTCAAGATAGCAAAAGAACTTTTACTTACGGCTCCGACTATGCGTCTTCGGACCTCTCATCCCCGCCTTCCTCCCCTACATTCTCCTTTCGGCCTTCCCCTAAACCCTCTGCAACAACCGACTCTCCGCATTCTGAACCCTCAAACGCGCCTCTTACCAACTCCCGAAAGAGGAAGCGTGAATGTTCGAAGAAGGCCAGCAAAAGGAACCGCAAGAAGCGAAGGATCGAAGCCCCCCCCAAAGCTGCTGCAGACATTCGCATGCGAACGAATCCAGCTCAACGATTTGCAGCCAGGGGGCCTTCCTTTTCGAGTTGTTTCTCAATGCAGGATGCGCCTGCAGCTTCAACGGCCTATGTTGGCCTTAGGGATGAGGGTGTTGAAGGCGGTGGAAGGACGTGGCGGTTGAGGGAACTCGTTGGCCCGGGGGCGGTGGATGAGTTTCACCTCGTAAAATGCGAGCCGGGGTACGTCTCAACCTTCCTGTACTTTGTTTATTAAATCATTCTATCCACAGAACCACTGTACCCTTTGCTGACGCCGAGGGCCGCGTTTATGGGCTGGTTGTCTACCCCGATGACCCTGGGGTCAAAAAGTGTGCGGAGGACGCAGCAAGACTCATTCAGAGTGAGCGAAGCAACTGCTCCTTCTCAGCTGAGCAACTGGAACACCGTAGGGGTTCCTTCCCGGCGCTGTCCACCGGCGTTGCTCACGGCAACGGGCGAATGGTAAGCTTTCATAAGGCATGCGGGAACCCCATGTAAATGACGTCTACCCCAACAGCATCCTCAGAACATCGTACATAACACAGCAAACACCTCGGTCCTCAAGAGGCTCACGTCTTCAAAACCATTCCAACGCCTTTCTGGATTTGCCACTGGTGCGTACAAGTAGTTTGTGTTTCTTTAACTGGGTGTACTCAATTTACTTTGCTTTCAGGTGTCTTCAAGACGTGGGCCCCTCGCCTATACAACTATTGCGAGGAGCATTTTACTGATTTGCTCTCAAGCGATGGGCTGCTGACTCGCATATTCGACAACAGCGTCCTTCCTGCCGCTGCATTTAACTTTGGACCGCGGACTGTCTGCCTTCCCCACGTGGATTTCGGTAACCTACCATTCAACCTCTGTTGGATATGGGTGTTGGGTTGGTACAACTGGAAAAAGGGAGGGCATATGATTTTGTGGGATCTCAAAATCGTCGTTGAATTTCCACCTGGATCTCTCATGGCCATACCATCTGGCGTTTGCCGTCACTCTAATACACATATAGGTAGGAGTGAAATTTGTTACTCATTCACACAGTATGCGCCTGGTGGTAATTTCCGCTGGGTCGACCACGGGTTTCAGAGCGAAGAGGATTTCCAGGCTGGGCTTACAACGGCTGAGAAGAAGGAGGAGAAGCTAAGGAAGAAGGCTCGATGGGAGATGGGGCTTGGGCTTTTTTCTACTTTAAATGAACTTGGATTGAACAACGAGGAGTTGTGATGTTGTAGTTAAAAGCCTTCGATATTCATGCCACTTCAACTCAGCTTTGTGAAAGAAAACAGCTCAACGAACTAGGATTTTGTGACTGAGATGAAGTTAGTGACAACGATGAGATCAAGTCTGTTGGAAACTTCGGATATGAGTTTAGTTAAGATTGAACCAGCGGTGGCTTTCCATGACGAATGCTGTTGGCACATATATGCGTGCCCATATGTATGGAGAAGCTGAATATTCAATATAGTAAATCTTACAACTACGAAGAGATTGGTTTACTAATGGTGTAAGACTCGCAGCAGTTACAGTTGCTCTGCATTGTATATTCAAGAGACGTTACCTGCGCGTCCTGCATGTTGAGTGAAGTCAACAACCATACACAGTCAATGCTAAGCCAAAAGAATCGCAGTCACAATTGGCAAAGGAAAATTAAAACAGAGGCAGAGGAAGCAGCAAAGCAGGAGCAGCGTTAGCAGTCCAAATTATCTTCAGAAATTCAAACAACTTGATTGAGTATACCTACAGCTATTCACATAGGGCAATATATACTTCTGCAAGCATTTAGCATGTAGACCCTCCTCAATCTCTGGCTTCTTTGTTGAGGAGCTGTTGTAGTGTGGTTTCTGGTAGAACAAAATTCTGAGAATAATCAGATCGGTTATACCATTTACTCTGTTATTTCTTTCTGCTCATTAAGGGAGACTCTGCATTACATCACCTATCAAGTACTGTTAAAGGAACCTAAGCTTATCGAGGCAAATCAGCATTTAAGAGCAAGCTGTTAACAACACTTCAACGATGTTCGAGCTTGAGGTTCGGATGTCGGAGGTAACGTCTGAATTGATTGGTTGTTATTGTCCCATGTCTCAAACTCTACAGCCAACTGCCAGCTCAACTTCTTACCGCCAACTTCTCTCAGCGCCCAGAAAAAATCTCTGGGTTGCCACTACTAACTCATTGTCTCCATTGCCTTGCACTCGCATATATGATTCAAAACTTGTGAGTAATATGCGTCACTTCAGAGGCTTTCAATAACCTTCGTTATGTAGTTTGCCTGGGTGCCTTTGCATCTCATCTCGAATAAGGTCTACCCCGTAGGTTCTAAGCTTCTCATAGAACTGTGAACCAACAATCTGTCTTTCAGCCAGCTTCCCAATCCGTTGCCTTCTGCACTTTCACTTGCCAAATCCCTGCACCAGCCGTGCTTTCTTATACTTGCTGGCTGTTGCCGACCTTGTGGTCTTCTCTGTACCGTTGCTGCCACTCTCGTTCACTCCTGCTCATTACTCCCTTCACTCTGAGCACTGCTTACAATATACTCAACATCCTGTCGATGCCACGCTAACTCAACGTTGCTTATCCTGCTACTCTCCTTTATGTTGTTCTTTATAATATAAATAACGTTCAGCCTATGTGTGAGGCCTGGCACAAAAGGCCTGCTCTCGTCCTATCTGGACTGGGCCTAAGCAAGCAGGACAGCTGCCTAGGCCGTACAAGGGGAGGTGGGATAAGTGCCGCTACTGGTGTAGGGAGCCTGACCAGTGGTGGTTGCGGAGCTTGGGTGGACCTAGCCAAAGGTCCTGGAGTGGGGGAAGGAGGTGTAGTTGGTGAGGATGGAGGTGGTTGGGGGTGTGGAGCCTCGACGTAGACTGTAAGTCGTAGGAGAGGCTCAGGAAGTTGAGAGAGGTGTTCAGAGAGGTAAGACAGAGAAGAGAAACAGAGTTGAGTGAAACAGAGGTGAAGGAAACAGAGTTGAGGGAAACAGATAAAGAGGAAATGTATGACAGGTGAGACGTGTCAGGCCCTGTTAGCAAGTACAAGTAGACTGTACTAACAGGGACCAAGCCAGGTTGGAAGAGTTTCCAGATAAGATTTGACAATAACACGCTGGGGAGCTCCGAGGGGAGTCCCCAGCCTAAATACTATACATGTGACAGCCATGTGGCATATTACATAATGGTAAAAGCGGACAAGGGGAGCTCTGGGTATACAGTGGGGAGATATAGGGAGGTAGTAAGGAGGAATATGATAGGTAAGGAAGCAAAATCAGGCAAGGCATGACACTATGCTCTTATACACCTACTACTTGTTGGTGGTAACATCTGCTTCAAATTTTATGTACGTTGAACGGAATAAAAAATTATATGTAATTCATCTGCATCTTCGGGTGCTGTCTCTCATCAGACCCTTGCACATCAGGTTGTCGGTTGGGTGTTGACATGTGTAGATTAGGAGTGAATTCAATACCCAAATCATAACTGAGACATATGTGTTGCGAACTAAGTAGATAAGTTTGACATGAACTCAATAACTGCACACATCCCATCGACTACCTCATCATCTTCGCCATCCTCACCGTTGTCAGAGTCAGGGTCGGGAAGTCTTGATGGAGGAGATTCCGTACCAATGTTGCCTGCGGGAGCCTTGCCTACCCGCGTTCCTGGAGTCTTGTTACCAGTGAAACCTGGCAAAGCCTGAGTTTGGTGGATGCGGCTGAGCAGTAGTTGGTTCACTGCGCGCCGTCGATTGATGTATTCTAGGACGGGGTGATAATTCGAGTGATCCTCCAAGCACTGTAAAGTTTCATCAAACTTCTTGTCCTCGTCAAGAAGAAAGGTATGCAGTCGGCGGATTTGTACATTACAGTAGCCAATCTCCTCCTTGGCACGTAAAACTCGGCGGTGCTGCTTCATAAGGTTTCGGACGACGGGGTCAGCCCATTTCTTGTCCAGGATGCTGTGGCGAGTGTCTTGGAGAATGTTGAACTGATCAAGAAAGGTGTAATGCGTAACTTTTGTCCAATCCAGTGTCGGTCGCCCAATGGCAACTGCAGCGTTGTTATATGTCTTGACGGCATTTCGAATCGCCTTTGAACGCCGTTGAAGGGCATTTGATATATGGGTACGCATTTTGTAGCCTGTAGAAATTTCGTTACCAGTGTTAACAACAGATAGAGGGTAAGAAACACACCAGTAAATGAAAGATTCATTTTATGAAGCTCAAACAAACGCTGTATAACTAGCTTGTAAAGCCGTTCCAAAGCCTGGTGATACTTCCGAGCATTCATATACTTCAACGTCTCAAGATACTCCTTGTCGATTGGTTCCCACCGCTGCGAAATACCCATGACACTCTCCATCTGCACCACCTCAAAAAGTAACTTGTCCGACTGCTCCTGTAGATATCGCCGTTTAGTTTCCAACTTACGGCTGTCAGAAAGGTTCCTGCTGTATGATGCTGTTGAGGAGAGAAACTGGTAGTCGGAAGGAGTCTGTGAACGAAAGTCAGCAGCAGCATTTTCGCAAGCCGAGCTTCACAAACTCAGCTGAGGTGGAATGAAAACACAATAATCAACGCTCACTTGACGTCCCTATATTTCTGAAGAAGTTCTACATAGGCCACGGCATGTATGTCTCCTTCGGCCTCCTTCCCCATTTCCTTCAAGTGATTCAACTCGTCGACAAAGTAGTCTTCAAGGTCTTGAACTGAGATACCCTTGGCTTTGAGGTCTGCCTGAAGTGCTTGGGCTTCGTCCTCAAGAATGTCTAGAGCTTGCACGTAGTTGTTGTGGAGCATTGTCGCCAGGTTCTGATATTTTTCTTGGTCCCATTGGCGCAGGAATATGTCAATGAATATGCGCCGATGGTAGGCTGTCATATAACGAGTGACTGGAGCAAGTAGGTTTGATGATGAGAAGAGTCGTTCAAGAGTTTCTAGATCTTTTAAGCCCATGCCACGGATGCTAAGCGGATGGTATTTTTGCTGACAGGTGGCATTATGCGAGTAGCCGTGGAATGCATTCACACAGGTACGGCACCCCTGCTTGAGAAACTCTGGGCCAAGAGAGCTGCGACGGATGGTGCCTTCGAAGCTACATCCAATGTCATAACCCATAATCCAACGAGGTTCGAGCACTTCCAGTGCCTTGGCAACCACAGCCAAGGGATACTTTGCGCTATTGTCACAGCATCTTAGTTTTAGATATGTAGATGCAGGCAATGGAAAAAAAACTTACAGCTCCCCACTGCGGATCATGTCAACAACCCAAAGGACAAACCCGTGTCTACATGCACTGACAAAGTATCCCGACTCCTGAAAAATGCTCCACATTTTTTTGTGCTGATCAGCGGCAGCAGCTTTCCAATTTTTGGTGCACTGTGCAAGGCTGCCGTCTGTTGTTCCATCTGTTGGGTCGCCATGATCTTTGTCAACCCACTCACTTTGAGATTCATCGGGGTCTTCATCTTCAACGACGTGGGATGGATGTGTGACTTCATTTGCAAAGGTGTTGACGAAATCTGCAGAAAGGTAATAGTCACTTTCTCCAAAGACCCGAGTGTCGGATACTTCCCGGTTGCCAACACCCGCCATGCATTTAAGTGAATTGTTGCCATCTACTACCCACATATGAGAAAATTCAACGTCCGGCTCATCTTCAAGCTAGAAAGTATCTTATTGTAACATCGAGTAGAGGAGGATCTGCATTTACGCACCTTGTAGCAGCATGCTGGACAGCTGTTGAGAACACGATAGTTGTCAGAATCGTGGCCTAACTCCTTGGCAACTTGAGCATCAACCTTCCGTCGGATTGCTAAGTAAATGTCAAATGCATTGGAAAGGCCAGTGCGGTATCCCCTCCGGTAAGGAAGCTAAAATGAATAAGTTGAGGGGCTGCATCGTTGAAGGAAGAATGACTATACCAAATACAGGTGGCATGTAGTCTTTGCAAAGGCCTTGATGCTGAAGGACGGCTTAAAGAGACGGAGAGTGTAATAGAGCTCGAGGGTTTTCAGAGATACTGCGAGAGAAGGAAGTTCAGGAGACGTTCCGAGGTAGCCTGCATATACAAGTGCAACAGCAGCCTTTGTCTCTTCACCCCTGGATATTGTGGCCTCCCTTGCAAGTGTATGTATGTCGACGACGTCAATGGTGAAGCTGTATGCTTCGCAGAAACCGTCAGGCAATCCAACGGCATATTTCCACTTGACATAGGCATCGGCCATCTCATCAATAAGAGGAGCCCAAGCAGCATTGAGGTTCTGTATGCGGGTTTTCCATGTCCGTGCATCCTTGTACTTCCGACGTCCATGCCACCTTACGAAACTGTGTTTGAAAGTAACGTTCTATAGAACCTATTGAATACTCACCTCCCATGCTGTATAACATCCCGAATGTCAATTTTTATGCCATCTGTATTCTCAGCAACCGCATCGCTGTCGCTGTCTTCTTGATCACCCCCGCCAGCCCTTGCACCTATGCTGGCACTGAAGTCGTCAACATCCATTGGCTGAGGGTCTTGGGAAGGGCTCTGAGACGTTCCTGCAAGGTCGTCTAGAGCCTTTTGAAACTCTCGACTCAGGCCTTAAAGGTTGGATTAGCAACCTGCCCGCTATCTGGCAGTGAGGAGCTGACCTTCACTTGCTTGAGAGCTTTGAAGAGCTGCTTGAACTCGCTTTTCATTGATTGCACTTGGCCCCAGCTTTTGCGTTTGAGTAAGAGATGATGAAAGCCTGCCTGCGCCAACAGTTGAGCGTACAACACGCGGAATGCGTATTTTGCGTTTGGACATGAAGTAGAGCAATGTAGGAGAGGTAGAGAGGAGTACAGTCTATAGACGTAACATATACATGCGCTTAAATAACTGTAAACAACCACTATAGCAAATTTTACAAGCAGCAGATCTCAGCAGCTTGAGAGTGCATAGCAATGGGGTTGGAGGGAGGGAGAGCAGTGGTCGGCACCAAAATCTTTGAGTGAAAATGCAGGTGAAGTTGAGACGGACGAGGACGTTAGTTCAGTGCTTCAGAATAGAAGGGTAGGAAAGAGAAGTGGGAGAGAAGGGTGAGAGAGAGAGTGGCATGAAACGAAGGTGGAAGGAAGGCGGGAAGTCAAAGCGTTGATTACCACAGAGAAAAAGAGCAAAATTAATTGACCCGGGAGCTAAGCAATCGGCGCTGAGGCGTAGTATTGTTTGTAGGTCTAAGTAACCAACGTAGAGTCAGCGGGTGCGTTTAATAAAGGCGGGAAGCCCGGAATAAGGGGGGAGCTGGTAGTTGGTAGTTGGGGCCGGCGTCAGGGAAATGAGGCAGGAAACGTGGGTTTAAGTAGCTAACATAGAGTCAGTAGGTGCATTTGATAAAGGCGAAAAACTCAGAATACGGTGGGAGGCGGGATTCGGAGGTCGGGAGTCGGGAAAAGCAACATTTCCCGGGGCCAAGAGGGCGGTGCTGAGGCCTAATGTTGCTTGTAGCCTTACGTAGTTAAATCGAAGTCGGTCGGTACACGTATTTAATGCAACTTATGAACTGCAACTTATGAGCTACAAAAAGTCGGGAGTCGGGAGCCGGTGTCAAGTAGATTAGCGCTGTCAACGACGGGAGGCGCTTGTTCAGATGATTCGGAACTGAGAGTGATGTGGCGGACTCACTCCCGCACAGTTCCGGTGGTTTTGGGACTTATGTCATGGTCTTTTCGACTGGGCTGGGCCTTTACCATATTGAGAAAAGCTATCAATATTGCCAGAAATATTGGCAATGTAGGGGATAAAGCGAGATCAAGGGGCATAGCCCTGTCATGCAGACTGATATGTCAGATCTATATACTCCAGTTGTTGTGATGTTGAGGTGGTAGGGGAGTTCCCTCCGGAGCAATTTGACCAGAAAAGGCAGCTCCATGGATCTGATGGTCGTTTCCTGGCACAGAAACATTCATCGCCCAGGAATATCGAGGTTCCTGAACTCCTTAACCCCGGTAACACGGCCACGAGGAGCCCCCAGTTACGCTCTGGGACCTCCCCCACTGTACATGCCTTGGCTCAAAATTCGACTCCTCCCCCCAGAGTTAACCTGCAAACGAAACCGGTAACCCCAATTAGTTTGGTGAGGTGAGGATGGATGGCGCACAACATTCATCCCGGATCTCCGGACAAGATCTGACAGCTCGGTTGGTTCCCAACCCTGTACACGTTCCTCCAAGACTGAGCAATCCATCAGTCATACCGTATCAAGGGTCGGTATCGATGCAATCTCAGGCAGTGGGAGCGGAAAGTCAAAGGGGTCCGAACCAGCGAAGAACGTTGGCAGTTCACGAAGAGGCGGTACCCCCGCAGGGAGCTCCTTTTGGAACCCCCTTTGTAATGGGAGCTCAGACGAACCAACCTGGCATGGCTGTCGAATCGGCACGCTCTCAAGAGTTGGTAGTAATGATCCAACAACAGGCTCGAGTCATTGAGACGCTTCAGGAACAACTCCGGGAAGTAAGGAAAGGATTCGCAGCAGGGGGATTACCGACTGGTGGACCGCCTTCCAAAACAGGAAACACGGTGGGATTATTCGGGCAAGCGCCCATGGAAATGATAGAGAACACGAGGGGGGTCCATCTCCTGCAGTTCCTCAGCAAAGAAGTTGGCAAGCTACGGAGCCAATTCCCTTTACCAGACGAACTCCTATGGGAGTTAGGGAAGGGAACCCTCAGGAGGGACAATCAGCCCCGCTACCTGTCACCCTGAGTGTGGACAGGAGGCGTATTCAGGAATGGGGAGCTCGCGTGCAAAGAGCAGAGCTCAGGGAGTATGTGAGACCGGAGGGAGGAAGGTACGCGTTGGAGGACGGTGGAATAGCCGCGAGTGGAGGAGACAGAGGAGGGTTTAAACCCCCTAACAGAGCAACTTCCCCACACCTTTCAAATCACTCGAGAGATTGAGAAAGACCCCCAAGCCAGGGCGAACGGGATCACCGGGGACAGGTAGGAAGGAGCGGGGGAGGCGCCTCCCCTCCACTACCCTCGGGAGGACCGGGTGATAATGATTCCAAAGGTTCCAACGAAGGGGAACACACTGGGTCAAGTAGGGAGGGTGGAAGGAACGAAGACGACAGGGGGGAGCTCCCCACTGGAGCTCCTGAAGTACCTCCAACACGCTATGACCCGGACCAACCCTGGTACTACGATCCAAGACAAGGTTGGCACCGTAAGGCAGCTCCTAGACCTCCGAACGAGGGACGGACAACAGGAAAAATTGGATTACCATCGAGTTGAAGCTTGATGTCGGCAAGATTGAAAGCTTCGCAGGTGACGACTGGTCTGCATGGAAGACGTGGGTCCTCAGTTTGGAAAGGATGTTTGGAGTACATCCTACCATCTATGCTCGTGAAAAGGACAAGTGCGCTTTGGCAGCCAGCCATCTCACTGGTGCAGCACTCTCCCACTTCAACACATTGAATCGGCAACGACTGAGGGGGGAGTACACCTGTCTCAAAGACTGGACAGAGTTCAAACGAGAATTCAGTTCTAAATTCGGACCCATCGATGAGGCGGACGAGGCAAGGAGGAGATTGGCCTGGATGAAGCAGATGCCGGAGGAAAGCTTCGCCAACTTCTTCATTCGCTTCAACGAATACGCTCCTCTGACTGGGTTTAACAACGAGGCTCTGGTAACATACCTCAAGAAAGGGGTAGCTGCCTGGTTGCCTCTACAGGTTGTTACCGGAAGGGAAGAACCTCAATCCTACGACGAGTGGACCCGAGTGTTCATGAAGTTGGATGGAGCTGTACGTGCACAAGTGGAGAGTTTGAGGAACCTCCACGGTGAAAAAACGCTGCAAGGATGGCTGAGTCGCTTCCCCGGGTTGGAGTTAGCACCTGAAGCTCCTTACAAGTCCCCCCTGCGTAGGGAACAAGATCCAGCTGACGTCTGGACCTCCAATCCGAAACCAGCTGTGACAGGGAGGTTCCAAAACAGGTCCAACTGGAAGGAGGGATGACAGAGGGCGTCCGCAGCTTGGGGGGAAGGAGAAAGTTACGATAGCGAAAACCAAGAGGAAGACGAAGATTGCTGCCACTGCAGGGATGGAGGAGAATGGACAGAAGCGGTCCTCCGGGCAGGAGTTACTGATACCGGGAGGAAATGGACTCCTGAGGAAAGAGCGGAGAAGTGGAGGAGACGAAGGCAGGAGCTCTGCATGCGTTGTGGACAAAAGGAGCACTGGGCAAAGGACTGCCCTAACCCAGAATCGTTGGAACGCCCAGCGGAGGATCAAGGGAGCTCAGAGAGAGCTTCCAAGGCCGATTCAACTCGAGAAAGAGGGACGGCCAACCAAGGGGGAGGTCGTAAGGATGATTCAACTCGTCCTTTAGAACGGATTCGCGCCAGGATTGTGGTGGAGGAACGAGAAGGAATGGACGACCTCTGGAATGTTCACATCTTAGACTCACCAAAGGAAGGTGAGCAAGAATTGGTGGACAAAGTGGGAAATGGGCAGGGGGCTTCGAGGTAGATCAGGGCAAACTGCGAAGCCCCGCAACACCTTCGCCTACCACAATAAGAGCTGCACTTGCGGGGAGTCAGCCAGCTCGTCTCACATCCCGATCCTACAACTCCTTCATCATCCTTACACGCTTTCTGTTCTCCGACCTCGATGAAGACAAAGAATACGCCACACTAGTGGATAGTGGAGCAACTAGATGCTTCATAGACAAAACCGTCGCTATGCGACATCCCGAAAATTTGGTCGACCTAACAAACAGCATCCCTTTGAAGCTGTTCGACGGGCAACCCACCTCCGCAGGATTGATAACTCAGACCTACACCGACCAGATCAGTTTTGCGGATGGAACAATTCACAAGGTGGAGTTCCTAGTAACTCGATTACACCCCACGGCTCCAATTGTGCTAGGACTGCCGTGGCTACGCCTGCACAACCCAGTAATTGACTGGAAGGAACTTTGCCTGACGTTCCAGGACCGAAACGTCTGAATCTCAGCAGCCCTTGCATCGGAAATTGTCCAACCAGGCGCTGAGGGAGGTACTGAGGAGCTAGGAAGGGGGGTAAACGGCAAGGAAATACACAAAGGAACTCTCCAACCACCTCCTGAAGCTCCGCAACCATCTCCAGAAGTTCCTCAACAACCTCCAGAAGCCCCCCTTAGAGCTCCAAGGACGGGGGTGAAACTAGAGGAAGTAAAGGACGAAGAGTACGAGGCGAGTCAACCAGGTCCACACGAGTTA